ATAAGAGCTTTGCAATATTCACTGGGTCTTGCTACATAGTTTGTAGGTGCTGGTGTTTATCACTAACCTTCTCATACAAACTAGTCAGTGGGTTGTTATGTTCGCTCGCATGCTTTTCATTGCTGCTTATGATCATTCATAAGTTTCTTGTAGCCACTTGTAAGCACATTGTTGTATGCATACAACATATCGTCCATTGTTAATAATAGACATTCGTACTCATCCATAGTTCTTCGTGTATTCGACCATGGATGGTATATGATGATTCTTCTATAGTCACTTGCATGGAGATTGTAATATCTTCTCTGATGGATGTATGAATAGGAAATTTTTCTATAGTAACTCGTAGGAACTTGCATGTGTTACAAGTATACTATTCTTGCTTGAAGATGATGCATTCTACGTATTACATGCCTTATACTATCACTTTGGTAGGCAAATCGCATAGGATGTAGATTTTCTAGTGTTATTTGCATTTGATGCAGCTCTTCCACATTTTTTTATAGATATGTCGTATTTGCAATATATACCCACCAGCAGGTTGTCGCTGCATATTCTTTGCTATTCACTTTTGGACATTCTGTATTCATTGTGCATATTACAAGCCTTCTATAACAGTTCGTAGGTTCTTCCATCAATAAGGTGTGTCGCATGTATTTGTATGAAGTATTGTCATTTGTAGGCATGTTACTACGCCTGTTAGCAATCAAGCAACTTTGATTGTATGCAAACTGCCTTTTACTTTGAACCTCCTGAATATACATTGATTAATAAGTCATTGCAATTGGTGTTTGCAAGGAATTAGTACATTCTTCCACAAGAGAGTTGATATTGATTGTCGTTTGTAATCATTCACCAATATCATTACACTCGCTGCACATCCATCTTGCTTTTGGGACATGATATGCTTAACTGAACACATGTGCTACATTTGTTGTGCTTATTTTGCATTTTGTTCATGATTGATGTATATTGCACTCATCTTGTCCCCGCAATTTAGCTATTGTGTTTCATAGAAGGTTTATGTTCACCTTCATAAATATGTGTGGGTCACTTTCTTTTGCATGCAATCATCTTCCCTCTTTGTTCATTAATATTTATTTGAAAGTCTAGAATTTGTCACTTAGAACCTTGCATCTTAGCATCTTTGTGTAATCATCAACTTAGAGGTCCAAAATCATGTCATATGAGTTAAGTTCATGCTCACTTTTGATTTCTTTTAGGTTCAAGCTTCGTTGTCTTTCAAGTTTTGAGTTCAATATCAAAGTTCTATTGTTCAAGTGCAGCTCGGCTTGAGTCCAACTCAAGTCTTCAATAAGTCCTTTATATTCATTCAAGTCCCTTGTATCATTCTTAAGTCCAAGCCTTGTCGGCTTAATGTTCAAATCAAGTTCTTGTGATTTATTTCAGCTTGAATTTATTTTAGATTTGAGCTTTATTGCATTAAAGTCCACAAGGACACCGCGGCCGTGTATTTTTCGATCCCCCACCACGCTAAGAAAAGCGTGTATGGGAGTTTTTGCAAAAAGGACATTTTTTTAAAGTATTTTGCAAGAAAAGCAGTTATTTCCCCGCAAGCGGGTACTTATAGGTATCCCCGCCTCGTCGTACGCATCGCACCGGGCTCCTATCCCACCACGCTAAGAAAAGCGTGTATAGGCGAGGTTTCCAAGGCGATACGAACATCAAAGAGGGGATTTTAGGTGATTACCCGCTTCGTCGCAAGCGTCGGGACGCACTCCCTCCCACCACGCTAAGAAAAGCGTGTATAGGTGGTTGTTTTGTCTCGACGAATGCGTTGAAACGAGTTCTCGGAGTTTTAGGGTTAGAGAGTTATACCTTG